TGTCAATTTCCCGTTACGCCCGATATCCGCCCCAGAGCCTGAGCGATTAATAACGAGAACGTTTGACAAGAGCGCATTCGTGCAAAAAAACACCTTAATGCCTTCTTTTGTATGTACTCAGTACTTAACTGCCTGGTGGAGATTATATGACGGCCCTCTCTTTCCATTAATTTATTTATGGAAATTTAAAACTTTACGGGAAGCACGCAAAGCTAATACTCTTCTATTTAAACGCGACGTAAAGTGGATGATATCGACTTCACAGTAATGACGGGTGAGTCCAACAAAGTGCATTAGAGCAACTCTAGAATATCGCATTATTAAGCATGCACCATGCTTGTTCTGCAGAACGTATCGAACGGGCGGTATATTTTTTTGCTAATCTAAGTAAGGTAACCGAGGTTTTTTTTGTAGATGTTTCTAAACCCTCACTTGTTGATATATGTATGTAAATACATTAGTATTCAGGTTGATATTTTACAGAGCTCAAGGCTTCCATTTCTGGCGCAGTCATGAAAGTTTTTATTCACTCACGGTTTTGATTTCAAATCATGTTCACTCCATTTCCGTGGGTGTGTGCACATATCAATTACAGGATTTTTAAAACCATACAAACTCATTGATTTTTTTTGTAGCTCATATATTGCCACAGACAAGATTCTGCATTAACCTGGGCGTTTTGTTTTCTGTAAATATTTTTGCTGTAAGTTTCTTTTCGCTTGTGTGTTTATTTGATGCAGCCTTTTAGTTTAAATCCCTTTTTTGGTATCCAAAAGCAATCTGCGTGTTTGTAAATGTTCCTGAAGCATCTGGTCTTTTCAGTGATGGTTTCGTTGGGCCACGGAAAATTCCCCTCGCCGAAAGCATATCATTACAACTGCACTGTTATCGTTTAGAAAGTGTAACCACTATCGAAACCTCATGCTGATAGTGGTCCATGAAAGAAAACAAATCTAAATCTCTACTCCACATTTGTTCGACTGAGATTCGACACGTAACTGACGGAGGCATTGTAGTAAATGAATGCATATTACATAAACGCCTTCATTGCCGCCTCATTCACGCGCTCTGCCTTCACAGAACACTCGCGAATTGTACAAAAAACGTTTTCTTTTGTTTCTTGTTGCACATTACACGGCCGCTTTCCAAATAAGGTTGTGATTTGAGACTCGGATCGGCTTTAAGCCTTTATTCAAGGGGGACCTTTTCATGTATCACTCCTTTAACACAGGACTCCTGTTGACACAAACCGAGTGCAGCAAAGAAAGTAAGTAACGAAGAGTTTTTAGTTCCACGCAACGTTTTTCTGTGTATTTGTTTTTCTACGGGGTCCATTACTGGTAAGAAACCTTTTGATCAGGCACGTGTAGTCGTTGAGTGTGCACTCCGCTTCTATCTTGCTTGATAGCCCGGCTTCACCTGGAAAATAAAATTAGAAAGCGGAGAAGAAGCAGACTGCGTGCAAAATGCAATTATACATCGTTGTCTTTTATTCGAAAAACTGTTCTCGTTTTCAACAAAATTTTTACGTGGAGAAAACTGTCGAGAAAGTGCGCAATGCATGCTATCAGCGGCAGTCTAAGCCAGCTACCTCATTTCAATGTGGATTAATTTTTCTTGTGAAATTGTGGCTGATCGAGACTCTATACTGACAAAGAACTGCCATTAGCTGGTAACACTTATGCATCAATTGGAAAAAAGCGGGCAGGCATCAAGTATAATCACTTAACCTGACGGCCCCTGTTAAAAGCACATTAACTAAACGCCGAGATATTCTGGGCGCCACCAGATATTAGAAGATGCGTTGAAAACTCTGGCGCCGCGTAGTCGCGGACAAAATGAGGTCTGTTGATTCTGATATGGACATCCGCTGGGCCGCTATTGCTCGTATTAACTTCTTCAAGAACCTCTTTGGCCTTTTAATAGGTGTTCAGTGAATCGAAGCTCAGTAAATATTTCGCTATCGTTTTTCTCATCTGATTGACTTCCTCTAGTTAAGTTCTGCTCGTGAACACAACTCAGCAGTTTCCTGTAATACTGTCTTTGAATCATGTTTAAAAGAAACCTTCATAGGCTGATGTGATGTTCTCATGTGAGTGTCAATTTATCCCTCGTCTGCTGCGTGTTATGAGATGCTACACCCTCGTGAAATCGACACAGCTTTTCAACCGGTCAGTGAAATGGTTTTCCTTATACTTTTCCCTTAAAATTCACTTCCAAGTTGTTTATCGTATTCAGTGCAGTGCGTTAAATACCAAAAAGACTTCTCTGGTTTGCGTTAAATCTAGAAGTCTATATCATCATTCGTCATTTGTTTATTAGGTTCCAATTACTTTACTCTGAGTTTAAAGAAAGCGAGTGAGAGATTTCAGTTTAATTTCTGCTCCGACGTTTAGCATGTCACACGGGTAGTATTCAAATTTTATGTATTCGTAAGATGCCTCAAGCACACAGCTCATCTGATACACAGATGTTTCAGTCTGGACCCCTGCTTCTTTGAAAATTTCGTGTGCAAAGCCGGAAAAGTGAAGCCCTTAGAAACGGCACTGTATTTTCTGTGAAAAAAAATTACCCAGCTATACATTGACTGTTAAAGTTAGAAAAAATCATTAAGCTTTCAGCTGACTCGACCAAACCTTTCTCAAGAAAATTAAACAGTCTTTGGACGATATGGCAAAATTGTTAATTTTATTTCGTAAACTCGGCCTCTTTTGTGCCTGGTTTTAACATGACAAAACCGAAATTAGTTGTACGTTTTAATTTCGCAAACGGTAGATGCGTCGTCGAAAGTTGTTCTTCTGCAGTTGTAAAGAGAAGTTGCGTGTCTTTGAAAGTAGATTTTTACCTCTATTCTCCTTGACAACTTTGTCGGGGCCCGAGCACGATTAAAAAGACTAACAGACACAAGCGGTTTCAGTTCAGGTTATAGATTGCATTTATTTCCTCAGCTAAATCTTTAGAAACGTTCGTTTGTTTCAAACCTGGTCTGTTCTTTTTTCTTTTCTTCGTTATATTTTGGGTCAGTAATCATTTCGTGAGCAAGAACTTTATTATCAGCGTCAAAATTCTCCATCGAAACAGATCAATTTCCATTGTAGGTAGCTAAACCAAACCCGGGCAAACACTCAATGACTGATATAAAGCAAAATGCAGTAAATGAGAATGAAATTGGCGAATTTCTTGATTGCTTCGTCCTCACAGAGTGGCTCAAGTTTCCTCTCACATCCAAGCGGATCTCAAGGACAAGCTTTTTTTTTGGGGGGGGGNTAGGTCTAACTGATAAGGATGAGGGATTTTAAGTACAGCCGGCTCGCTTCATTGAGAAATTTCGATAGAATATGGTAGTAGCTTCGGTAGAGAATGAAAACATTATGCTGAAAAATGTATCGTGCATAGGTAGAAATAACCATTAACACTGTGCGTTAAATGTACCTGTATTTGGCTTTTTCATTTCGTCTTTAGTATTCTATAAGTTCAGCTTGGGGTGTAAAGTAGGACGCCCAAGTTTCAACACGATTTGAAGACTTTATAAATATCGGTTCCTCATTTGGAAGTTCATTACAGCGAGCTTGTTTGCTTAACAAACTTTTGTTTGACGATCATTTGTGTTTTGCTTAATTCCACCAGGAGAACCTGTGGAATAGTCTTGTAGACTTATTTTAAAATGTAAACTGTCCGCAGGTTTTTTTGTCAAATAATTAAGCCCACGTTACTTTTAATAATGCTAATGTTTTCATCAGCGTTTTGACACCGTTTACTCTGCAGTTGGTTGACAGCGGCTGAGCGAATTATTCCACCGAGTCCTTTCAAGTTTTCGTTTTGTTAACAAAGTGCAATATTCAGTATTTCAGTTATTTGCCATTTACCAAGCGGCAAACGTGCGCAATTTCAAATCAAAAGAGGGTGAATTTTCTGCCCGACTTACGCCGAGTAGCTAAAAATTAATAAACGCAAAACAAGAAAGATAGGCTGTCGTTACAATTGCAAGGGACCCACAGATAATTCAGTCCCTGTTCGTTCCGGCTACTTTTCGTGGAAATACCTTAAATTTTTCAGAGGATTTTTAGAAATTTAAAAGAAAAGGACAGAAAAGTTGCGTATAATTGTGACGCGTTCGGTTCACCAATTCTGTGAATTTCTTATCGCTTGAATGCCGATTTCATAATCTAGCAGCTGCTGGCCACATTGTCGAATTAGAAATTTCACAAAAACTGTTAATTATCCCACTGTTTAGGGGAACGCGAACGGTTATTTAGATAAAAAGATAAAAGATAAGCCTCTGCCATTTATCCGAGAAAAAATAAGCTGGCTCCAGCAAGAGGAAGAGGTTTAAAGACCATTGTTGATATAATCGCGCGCATCGATCGATATTACGCCCGGTCTAGCGAAGAAAAATCTTAGAATTAGTTCCAAAGAAAACGCAATGTTTCTTGGCTAGTGGACTTTTACGACGGTTGCGATCATATCGGATTACAGAGGCTTTTTAAAAGTAAAATTTGAATGAGAAAGACTTTCCATCAACGAAAACGAAAATATGTGAAATTTCAAGTACCGCGTTTGAGAGACACGAGGTGGCTCAAATTAACTTGCACCAAAACAGACCTGCCAGAAATTTTAATATTTTAAACCCTTGCCATAAATCATTGCAAAATGACATTTTGGAATCGTCAGGTAACTTCATGTCTCAGAAACAAAGCATTTAAATACAAAGGTCCACCTTTTAAGAGATGAAACTCACGACATCTTTTTTTTTCGTAAAATGTCTTATTTTGACTTGCAAGCGAGTAGGAAAACGTTCGGCGACAAGCTTGTCATTTTTAAGTTTTCATTTTGTTTTGCTTTCGCGCTATCTGTTTTTCTTCTTTCAGTCGAAGTTGGTTCTAATTCGGAATTAAATCACCTGAAATGGGAAATGGATGTTAAATATGAAGTTTCAGGCAGAAACGTTAGAGTTTCACATCACTGAAACATCTTCATTTTACTCATTGTTTCAATTCATACATTTGCATTGAATGATTAACAGGCGAAGAAAGAGCACCTTATCTGTCGAATACAAAAGTACCGTTTTGTATACATTATTTTTCTCGGCAACGAAATCGGTTTCGTCCTCCTTTCTTTCGAGGAAACAACCTTTAGAAATGGAACGTGATTATTTAATCTAGATGGCATCTTGTTTGGTTTTCCAGTCGTGTTAAGTAGCTTAAGTGCTTTTAGCAAAGAAATTGTTTGAGCCATCACAATTTTGCTTATTAGTCAAAGATTAATTCGTCATTCGTACGGAGCCGAAGAATGGCTGCACTCCGGGACCCATTTCATCACAATAACCTGCTTTACTCATTTGGAGTTAATTTTTCCCTGAGGGGGTCGCGATAGTAATTCGAAAGCAACTCACAATTGCAAGTGAAAAAGAAAAAAACAGTTGTTTAACAGGGCCGTAGACAATAATATCTTCAAAGAAAATATTCAACAGAGACACGCCAGCTTTAGAGTTGAATAGTGAAACACAAAGTTATCGCCGGTGATCGCTATATTATAAACCACCAGCGAGTCAATTTAAAAAGGCTGTACAGTTTAGTCGCAATGAACTGATTAAAAATCCCGAAAACATTCACTTCCGAAGATAATTTCGACTCCTCGCGGTAAATTATTCAAGCGAGGGAAGAATTAAGGTAACCGGTGCTGGGTTCTCATGCTGTGTAGCTTGGAAAATCGCGAGTGCACCACACTTGAAAGATTTTTTTCATTCATTAATAAATGCTTTTCGGTTCGCTTTGACAGGAAGCAAATCAAGACGAAGAGACAATATGACGGAGATTTGCATGTCTTACTAATGGACGCTGTTAAAATGCTCCGACCCGCTAAATCTGAAAGCAATTACGAATCAGTTTCTTGTCATATCGAGCACTTCAATTCGCAAGTTCTTAAGAAAAGCCTGCTCTAATTTGCATTCGTTAGTGATTTTTTTATTGCGCAGTATTTCGCTATTAGCCAGAAACGTTGGACCGAAGGCGATGTGTTGTTTTGGCAAGGAAATCCAGCTGAGTAGGTTTTATTGGCACTTAATACATCGCTACAGCAAGAAGACCTAAAGAACAGAGAATTCACACTTCCTTTCTATAACCGATCGATTTTATCACAGTATTCATTAGCGCTAGACAACCAGAATGATTGCAAACAAATCGCATCCTGTCGGGATTTTAGGGCGAGTAAATGTTTCTAAATTTAATCGTCACTTTACACAACTTAGCGACGGACTCAAAACAAGGCTTGCAAGCCATAAGTTTGATTTCGAAGCACGCCATTAATCACCCGAGTTAATTCGATTTAATTTCTGTAAGGGAAACCTGCCTGCACCTGTTAAGGGTTTGATTAGAGTATAATAAGCTTTCTCTAACTTCTCTCGTAATTAGCATGTCAACATTCTCCCCCCGCAGATAGAAACGACTTTTTCAAGTCACATCACCCTGTCTCAAAAAACACATTTTATTGTGCGACCCAGCGACGGTAGCACGTGCCTCATTCATCGATAAACACACGCAACAATCCAATTGATTGCATTTGTAATTTATGCATCAAGATTTCCTTTTTCCTTTCCAAGCTCGCGTGGCAACAAACAGTTTGATATGCCCACGTTAAACTGAACGTGATCGACAATCGGCGCGCTAGAAAATACGATTTGCTGCAGTTTTGTTTTGGCGTGTGCTGAAGTTGTGTCTGCAATTCCCCTCCCCACCCCTCCTCGTGAGTGGCGCCGAAAACCCGGAAAACCCAACCACACTTGAGCGGGCAGAGAACAATTGAAACTGTTTGATTATAAAACCACTAATGACGATCTCCTCCTAATACTTGGCCTCCGATTAAGGAAACCCAAAATCTGACAATGCAAGGGAGAACTCTTAGCCAATCACATCTTGACCTTGTTGATTGCGCGTGCGCAGCGGCTCGCTTTTGCCATTGTATTCACCTGTCACAGCTGCCACCGTTGAGATAGGTTTTGTTCATGACGGGTTTAAAAAACCATGACATCAAAAAAATGCCTTTATTGTAAAACGACCGCTTCAGGTCGCTTCTTCACTCGAGACAGCACTCAGATTTCACCGCGGCTCAAGTCGAACTCCACCAACAGTGCGATAACAAGATGCCGAAGTCTTTCTTGGTCAAAAAGCGGGTAGTGATAGCAGCTTGTAACGAATCGCAAGAACTCCCGGACGCTAAAAAAATACATGAACCGGGTAAGCTGCTGGAAATATAGTTGCTCTTTTAAGGAAAGCTTTTTACTAGCCATGATTTATTTTACCTTCTGATCAAATTGGCTGAGTTGGCTGAGGATGAATCTTAGTTAATTTTCCTACTGATTTCACCTTTTGATCTAGGTTTGCTGTGTTGCTGACTTTACGTCACCGTGAGATCCTAATAAACTCGCAGAGGAATTTCTGTTATTGATAGGTTAATTTTTGCACTGAATCGCAACTGAACCTTTTTCCTTTTCACTCTAACAAGGAAAATGTGGATTTTATTTTCTCTTCGAGATTGCACACAAATGGGCAGTGTTCTATGCTAACTAAACGCGGCCAGATTTCGGCCTTTTAAATATTCAGGCTTTTGAATTTGCCATCTCGAGGGCATGATGGTTTAAATACGCTCTAGTTAACTTGCCAAGTTCTTGTTTCTTCAGGGCAAACGGTCGAAATGGCGCGAGATGACCAGGACGCAAAGGAAACCAAATCAACGTCGTCTAACCGTCCGTTCGATATCGTGAACTTATTCGCCGCAGACAAACCGACGAAAAAGCAGATAACATCCTCAGAGAGGAGGCCATCAGATCCTTGCAGACCTAATTTCGCCTTCATGGAACCTGCTGTGCTTTCTGCAAATGGTAATTACAGTGTTTGACTAGCTACACGTTTTGGATGGAAAGGGAGTGCCATAAAACGGCAGATTTCTTCTTGGGCAAATGCGTGCGTTTTGAAATCAGAGTAAAAATATCTGCGTCACATTAGCAGTAACGCTTATCGCGTCGTTGAGATTAGAATAATTTTTTTTCTTCTCAAAATTGCGAAAAAAAAAAGTCAGCACAAATGGTGGCGCAACCAAAAATTGTTGGTGTCGAAGACTGAAAAGATAAAAAGCGCGCTTTTCGTCTAAATTTCAATATGCGAAGTCCTCAGTTTATGGAGTTTTAGTTTTAATTTCGGAAATCAGAACTTGCGAATTGCCATAATAAGACACACAGGAAATGATCCCGCTTGCCTATAGACTTTACGTGTAAATAGCGCGCATTTTCACGGCTCGATCATAGACAAGATTTAAAATCTGCAAACAAACCACTGCAAATGGTGTAAAGCCGAGCGGAACGCTTTTTATTTGATTACCAATCGCATGCGAGTCTGGGAGATGAGAACGTTATTCAGTGTGTTGGGTTGTCGTAGATCATACAACTACGAGACATTGACAAGTAAATAAGGATTAATTAACCCGAAGAAAACCCTAACAATACCACAAAGACTGTATGTTTAACTCGCTGGAGTTTAATTGTTCAAACAGTGTATATATTTCGGCCTTGTGTTGGGTTTATTAAAAATAGCATATCAAGCTAGCGCCCTTAAAGAATTGTTTTCGTAAATTAAATTGAAGCAGAGTGGCTTAAACCGGCCAGAACGGAAAATGAAGTTGCGAACAAACTGGAGGAAATGGAAGCGAATTCGTTTTAGTACTTTCTTTATTTTTCCGTTGAGATTAATCGACACAGAGGCTTAATTACGCGTCTTATTTAGAGGAAATACCGCACAGTCATTTCTTTTTACAGTCCCTTTCGGGCATTGTTACAATTTGGATGGTTTGTTTCTTCCTCAATCAGGACTAAAACACCCTTTTAAAGTTCAAAATGAAGCGGTATCTACAAAGGGTTTTAATTTAAGTGAATCATCACTCGGCTTCGCCGAATTGACCAAGACTCTAGTGAAAAGGAAATAGCAGTAGATCTCTCTAAACGAATTTTACATTCAAATTTGCAACGCAAACACTCTATAAACACTAAAAAGGGAAAAGTTATTAAGCGCGCAGATTGCCCGGTTCTTTTCGGATTTTAAACATTTATGAGATCTTTGTATTTGAATAGCCCTTCCGAAAGTACTTTTAGTGTTTTTATTTGCTCAGAACCTGGTGTAAATCACGAAAATATCTCGCTCTGCTGCCCTATGAAGGAGACTACTGGAAGAAGAAAGAAACACGAATCCCACAATCCAATATATTGTTGCGCACTTTACGCGACAGGGTTACAAAATTCACAGAACTAACACATTGTTTCTTTTCGTTATCTGTTAGGTGCCAGACCTTATCTCCCTCGTTTTCCAAGTCAGTTTGTGCCCAATGCATTCAACCCATTTCTCGGGCTGTCTCCTTATGTGCGCTTCCCTCCCCAGCCGTTCTTGGGGGGCCACCGGTTTCAGTTTCCCTACTGGCAACCCCCGTTCTTTGGAAACGCTTTTCCAAACCCGTTCGCGCGTGTTGCAGACGAGACGGACAAAGTAGTGGAGCCAACTTTTCGCGAAGCCCCTCAGTTGAGTGCAAGCGACAAAAAGAAAACCGAAAAGCCGTACAATGGTCAAACATTCGATTGCCTAAACTGCAAAAAGGTGTTCAGTACGCCGCACGGTTTGGAAGTGCACGTGAGGCGTTCACACTCCGGACGGCGCCCGTTTGCTTGTGACGTGTGCGGTAAAACGTTTGGACACACAGTCAGCCTGGAGCAGCACAAGAACATTCACACCAACGAAAGAACATTCGAGTGTAAACAGTGCAGCAAGACTTTCAAGCGCTCCTCCACCCTCTCTACGCACATGCTCATTCATTCAGACACTCGGCCGTTCCCGTGCGACTACTGTGGCAAGAGATTCCATCAAAAATCCGACATGAAGAAACACACATACATTCACACAGGGGAGAAGCCTCACAAGTGCCTGCAGTGCGGCAAAGCCTTCAGTCAGTCGTCGAATCTTATCACGCACAGTCGTAAACATTCTGGTTTCAAACCGTTCTCGTGCCGCATTTGCGATCGAGCATTCTACCGCAAAGTTGATCTCAGGCGTCATGCCTACACGCACGAAATGGACCCATTGACAATTAAGGATTCCTAGAAGCTGAAGTGACAATTTCTCCTTCATCATTTTTTAAGATGCCATAAATTGATTTTTTTTAAAGAAATTAAAAAGATATAATAAGAATCATATTTATTAGCTCATCGAAGATCAACTTAATCACGGATTTAGTGTAGAACTTTTTTGTGACACTTTTCACAGTAAATTCATTGCATTTATCAGGATAGCAAAAAGTTTTAAAAATAAAGCTTAGAAAAGATAGTGAAAAATTTATATTTGAAACTCAAAGTATTATGCAAAGAAATGGTTTGTTAACATTTCATTAATATCTAAATTTAAGCTAATTGAAATAAAATTGTAGTTTTTCTTTCAGAAAGATTAACTTTATTCCTGCACTGTACATATAGAGGAAGGCCAGGACAAAATATGTATATAAAAACTAAGTTTGTAGCCATTTGCAATACAATCTTTGATTAAAATGAGATTCAAATTCAGCTGTGCGCGCAAATTTTGATCTTTTATTTCGTTTATTTTTGTGGAGGTGGAGGAGGCTTAACTGCAATCGCATATAAATTTAACAGTCAATTCGTACGTGAAAATCGAAACTTTACCCATGTTTTACTTGCGGTGAAAGGAAAATCTAGAAGATACCGGCATGACAAAGGCTGCAGTCCGACAAATGTCGACAGATGATCGGCTTATAACATATATCAAATACCTAATCTTTAACTGAGTTGAAAGACATTGGCCAAATTCCTATAGCATTTTATCACCAGGATTTCTCTGTAGCTCCACTCAAGTTTAATTTAAAGAACAAGATCAATTAAGAGTACGAAAATTAGTCCAACTCAAATTTGAAATTTGTTTAACCCCTTGGGTATTGCTAGTTTTACTACATAGCCTTTATGCAACAAGAAACGACACATCGAAAATAATAAACAAACACAGAGACAAAGCTGTTCTTGGAACAAGCTTTCTTTTGGTGAATCTGCATCCGACATAAACCAGAAATAAACACCTGAAGACTCGTTATGAAAAATATTGTCTGACGAAATATTAAACGATTGCTGTGTTTTATAAACCTTCTATCTTAGGTTTTAATTTCTCTAAAATAGTATTGAAACCTGATACTGCATATGTTTCTGGGGTAAAATACGTTGAAGAACTCTTCAAAACAAGCTGCTATTATTTAACAGATGCACTACTAGTACGGTGCCGCGTAGCTGAGAACGAAGACAAAGAAAACAGTCATGATATGCAGCGGAATAGAAACTGTAAACAAAGCGTTTTTGCCATAACACAGTTGAATCAATCATCTTTTCATAAACTTCTGTTTAATGCCGAATTAAGTATACCCCAAAATAAGTGGGGCTATAACGATGCTAATGCGAAAAAAAAACAAATCGCCAAATTCATTTGAAAGCGGGTCTTTTCTTACGCAAAACTTGCGTATAGGTAACATATGTTGCTCGATACTTGTTAACCACAGATGGTTAGACCTGACCATAAAGGAGACAATTTTCAAAGGCTTATCTCCTCAGTTTATATCTGTGTAAAACTGCATCTTCTTCAATTAGAAGTTTTTTAATAGGGAGACATTTGTATTGTTATCATTATGAATCTACAGTTAGGCCGACACAGCGTATAATTTGCTGTTGATTTTCCCGTCCCCTAGTTGACTGAGCGAGGTTTTCTGACAAGTAGTCACTGAATGAATAACAGCTCTGATCCTGGAAGTTGGTTATCACTATGGCGTTTCAAAATGTTCGGGTTAGTGTACGAATAGCGACTGTTATATGAACCGGCTCAATTAATTGACTTCGCTCTTAATGTGTGACTTCATAGCTCAATTGGTAGAGCATCGCACCGGTATTCGCGGAGGTCTCGGGTTCGAATCCCGTTGAAGCCCTGATTTTTTCAGGCTTCTTTCCAATTGCTTAAATTGGAAAATTTACTGCGGTGATCATTCTTCACTTTCAACAGCGACTGTTATATTTGAAATATGTCAAAATCAACGTCGGCTGTCGTATTTTTCGTTTTATGACCTTAAAACTCTTAACTCAGTGGACAAAAATGACTGAAAGTGCATATGTTAACTCTAGTCTTCTGCCGGTCTCTTGCATAAAGATGACAACAGAAACAATCGGAAATGCTCAGGCAAACAAATCCGTGTACATCCGAAAGAACACTTCACTGAAAGTAAGTGGTTTTCGTTTCTTGACACTGATGCAAAAAGAACAGGATTCCGGAACCAGTTGTGAAAATTTGTCTGTTTTCTGAAGGGTAACGTTTTGAATCATGACTGACCACAACATGGCTTTCTCGTCCGTAAAACTCTAGACCTTAGCACTGATATAAACGGACGAAAGGAAGTGAGGAAGGTACTTCATTTCTTACCACGAGGGGTGCTTATTCTATTGTAAATTCTTATCTGTTAACAGTAATGAGCAATCTTTGGAAAACCATCACGTTTAATTTCCTGCATGGAATCGGATGTGTGGTAATTCCCTATTGAAATGACACACCGGAAAATGAATTTCTAACAATCGAAGCTTCACTCAGTGATTGCTGATTTTCAAAGACAGGCAAGCATGAAAGGGTCAATTAGCGCGCAGAACAAAATGACTGCGATTTGAACGTGGAAGATTGAAAATTAATCAATGCGTTTTTCAAAAGAAACTGCCAGCCTTGAAAACTTTATTATCTCGAATTGATTTTTAAAGAACTGCGTCCTCAGCACGTACTAAATACAAACTGATGCAGCTCTGATGAACGCAACTGTTCCATCAGGTCTTAGCCGCAAATATTGCTTGGTTTCACGCTTTCATATCAAAATTAATGATTACAGTTTCTTTGTTGAAGGTTTCTGTCGATGTTCAATTTCCGGCCACAACAATATTTTGATGGGCTTAGACATAAAAAACAAAGCTTTGCTTACCGTTTTGTTTTTATTCAGTGGTACTTCGTTTGAAAAATCTAAGTTCCACGTCGAGTTCGGGCGGCTTCATACATCATTTACCTCAGTCTGATAAAAAATGTTATTTGCATGTGACAATTTTTAGTCAAGGTGGCGGTGTATAGGTCTTACGTTTCAGGATAATCGAGTCCGAATTGAATGCTTTTGTTTCGCTAGCAGATCTCAATTCTTACATATTTGCTTTTAACAATCCCTTTTAACTAGTGGCCAAGGTCAGATCATTTTCTGAGTTCTCGAAAACAAAACTTCAAGTTAATTTCAGTCCAAAATTTACCAACCTCAGATTTTTACTTGTTTTATTTTTCATTTCTTCACGAGTAATATTTTAACGGTGTCAGAAATACTGTCACTTTAAATTTGAGAAATGAATAAGTGGCGTGCTTCCAGAAACAATGCTATTCCCGTTACATCTAGATATGGAGAAGTTGTTAACTTGTTCTTCGCGAGATCATGATGAAACCACTTTGTTTGGTTTCCATCGTGGCACTTTAGGTATTAGTGCCTGATAGTGTGTTTACTACTCAAAAGTTTAATCGTTTCAGTCACGAACTTGATTGTACTTTGAGAGGATCTCTGGAGTCGAACCGCTAGCTTAAGAGCTAGCGTTTAAATCCGTAACACACAAATATTACTCAGTCTTCAGACTCGGGCGTTAGCGAGAATTGACTGAAACTTCGAAATGCGCGTTCCACATTTTGTCGTTTAGGAAAATTGCTAAAATAAATGCTTTCTCTCAGGAGTTTTCAGGTTTGGAATCAGTTTCAGGGGTCCTCAGTCGGTATTCAAACAAACATTTAATACGAAGTTTCGTACAGGTTTATAGAAAAAGATCGACCAGAGAGATTTCGATTCAGTGTGTTAAATATATCATAATTCTAAGAACTGAACTGTTAACCGTTCTTTGTATGCTTTATCGTTGTTTTCTCTTCTTAAAAGACCACAGAATTTATAAAAATAAAGAAAACATTTCCCTGGAAAATCGCTATATCATTGTTTTCCCTGTTTAAAAGATCACAGAATTTATAAAAATAAAGAAAACTTTTCCCTGGAAAATCGCTATATCATTGTTTTCCCTGTTTAAAGATCACAGAATTTATAAAAATAATATAAAACATTTCCCTGGAAAATCGCTATATCATTATTTTCCCTGTTTAAAAGATCACAGAATTTGTAGAAATAAAATAAAACGTTTCTCTGGCAAAACGTCAATTCATGTACATCAGTCGCTTTATGACTTTTATAAGTGTGAAAAAAATTCAATTCCTGGCGTATATGAGAAATAATATAGTTCCTGACTTGCAGTTAAGTAGATTTTAGAGCATGCAGTGGAAACTGGCGACTGCCTCGTTCCCTTCACTACGCCATTAAAAGATCATACAGTGAAAATTTAGACGAGCGAAAAGATTCAGTTCAGTTAGGTTTTCTCAGTTTTGCGTGGAGGTGATGCGGATGTGAAATTGGACCGAGAGAGAGATGGCCGTATCCTTGAAAGTTAGCCACAGTTAAGGCGTTTCATTGCAAACAGTGGTAAAGTTTACATGAAAAGGGCTAATCAAGGAAATGCATGAATACTGAGGCATGAAATAAATACATAATCTCACGGTTAGAGCCATAGAATTATAGTTTCCACACACCTGCACTAAACAAGGTGTGATGTTAAACTCAAACTTCACAAACTGCTGTCATTTGTTTTGTGAGGATCAAACATAACATCAGTCGGATAACTTTTTCTTGTTTGATTTCCATACCCAACAGTTTTCTTAATATTTCGCCATTCATGTCAACCACTGTCAATTTCATGCCAGATATAAATAATTTCAATTTCATTTTGAGCCACCATAATTAAAGTGGGTTTGATAACCAATTTTTCATCACTGTCCTTTTCACCTGCTTTCGTAGCTAAACGCTGAAAAAGTAGGTCCTTGGCAAGGAATAGTTTGCTTTGAAAGACATTATTTCTAACTTAACTTTTTAATACAGTTGTTAACGTTTGTTTATAGCAGCTCTATAACGGTTACCGAGTAAAAAGTCTTTTAAGAGAAAGGGCGGCGTTTTGTAAGATCGGCTGCTGAGTTTCGTATTCAACCACTGTGAAAAAGAAAGCCAATTAGACTGATAAATGTGACAAGCGGCGAAACCTTACATCATTGCGCTAAAAATGACTTGAATGCACATTATATTTCTTGACAAAACATTTGGTTATATTATTCAGTGACAGGTTTAAACATAGTTTTCTGCGCTTTCGTGCCACACGCTCTCTTTGTTTACTAACACTCTTTTGAAATTACGGTAATTTAACTCGAAACATTATCAAGGCTGTGCCCCGAGGGAGTCAATCTTTCACAACCTTGTAGACTAAATACATATTTTGAAAAAGCTCTCATATCGATATGCAAAGTGACATAATGATCCTAGAAGTTTTTTCAGCACGCATTGTTTTAGAAATAACTACTCTTTTATCAGTACTGTAGAACTAGGAAAAAATTAAAAATCGGTAACAATTAATATGTATGTGCG